CTCTTGATAGAAGGGAGAACAACGCTGCAGGCGGTACGGGGGCACCCAACCCATCCCGAGGTGTCAGGTTTGCCAGCGTTAAGTCCCGCTCACACCGCCGAACGCTGACCGCGCTGACAGCTGGCCGAAGAGCAGCCGTGTTTCAGGGACACCCACACCCGCCTTACCTGAGCGCCACACAGGCCAGGGATTTGATTGCTCGGCCACCAGTTTCCCCCCTCAATCAGTCTCCAATCTCTCCCCATTCAAACTTTCCCTTATTCCTGTAGTTTAATTGAAGGGAGACATTCTTTCTAGTAAAATATTTACAAAAAAAAATCTCTTAAGCCTGTATGCACTGCTGAACACTTCGTTTTGATTTTATTTTCTAGGAAGAACTTCATACAAATGAAGAGGGTTTGGCAATTTTTGAGCTTGCAGAAGATGAGCGGCAGACAGAGGCTGCGTAACACAGGTAAGGCTGCTTTTGCTTTCCTGAAGCCCGTACTTTGCAAACAACTGATCCAGAAAACGGTGTAGCAGCTGTCTTAAACTACAAAGACTTCCCATGTTCAGACCAGACAACACTGGAGCTTTCCTGAAAACCCTTGCACTGAAAGGGTGTATGTGAAGGGACCCACACTGCCTAGTCTGGACATGGCGCATAAGCACCAGCTCTGGACCGCAAGTGGGTTATGGTGTTCTGTTAGCATACAATAATCAGAAAATTACTTGTTTCTGCTCTTCACTCCTGGTACTCCCTGCAGCTCAGCAGCTCTTGGCCTGTTTGTCTGTATCAATGTCAGTATGTGCAACAAGCAAGCTGGAAATCTATGGTGTATTTACCTACCTCATCAGCAGCTACTTGTTTTGACAAAGAGACTATGAGGAAAAGATCCAAACGCTGTGCAAAGTGAGGAGAAGCACCCTGCATTCATGATGTCCCAATCACAATGGGACAAGAAAAGATGCCAAAGAATTAAGAATAAATCTAATTTTCATGACATAGCCAAGAATGCACAGTCAAGTGAATACTTTCTGGGCAAAGGCCACCCATTCGACAATAATATAGTTATAAACCAAACGTGTCTACTACCAGCAGGAAGATACACCACTAGGATGGTGCAATAAAATAATCAACAAAACAGGTTTTCTAATTGGGAAAAGCGCTTTGAACAGGCTTCTTTAAAACCTGTTTGTAACCAGTTTGTCTGTCTCCTGAACTTCCTACCCCACCTAGTTCTCTCTTCCTTCATTTTTTGCAATTTCAAACATTCTGAAGTTGCATCCAAAAGGAAGAACTTCCCAAGCATAACACCGCAGAGAATGGCAACAAAAAAATGTTGCGGCATACCGTCTTTTGGGCGTGGCGCTGATGTCCAGGTAAGGTTGCCAGATTAACAGCTCCTGAACAAGATGAGGCCAGACCACCAATCACGAGCCTTATGCTTTCATATACTGAGTCTGTGTTTACGCTTATTTTTCAGATGATTCCATCTCATCAGTGTAAGGAAAAGGTGCGTTTATTTTCCCCTATCTTCCTTTCTCTATTCCCCTTCCCTCTACTCTAGAGAGGCACGCTTGCCTCCTAGAGCATGATCACATACTGAAGAACAACCGAAATAAATACCTGTTTATTTCTGCCCACAGCATTTTTAGAGACCTCGCAGAAAGGTACGCAGAAGACAATAAAGTAAAAACATCTGGGGCAATGTAAAAGGTGCGTAGAATAGACAAAGAGCCTGCAATGTCACAGATGGTGTAGCGGGACGTGGGGAGGGAAGAGCACATTTCCCTGCCGGTCCAGCTCTACAGGCCACATCAGCTTTCCAGGCTCTTCCTACATGACAAAGCCCTGAGGCTTCCTGACACCACTCCTCCATTGCCGCCTTCTCTACTGAAGGATCCAACACTTCCAAAGAAAAGCACTGCTTCACAGGACAGCTGACAGTGATGTCAGCAACTCCCTGGGGGTGGTACCGCTGAGAACAGCAAGCGGCAATGCCAGCGTTCAGAGGACACCTCCGTACCGAAGCTGTCACCTTACCCGGGTTCATAAAAAAAGGCGTTTTTACAACTGACTTCCCAAGACCTGCCGAAAGGAGCTCCCATTTCTTCAGGTGATAACATTGGTGACTGAATCACTCAGTGCCAATTTAAACTCCTTAAAAAGTGACCATGCCCTTCCTTTCCACTATTCTATTAAAGTGCCTTTCATAGTGGCACATGGGTACAGTTACATGCCTAGGAAGCCCAACTGGAGCCCTGGTTACATCAAAGCACTGACTCTCACTGACCTCTGGGAACGCCCAAGTTAGGCTCTGGGTTGGAGTAAAAAATCTCACTGCAATTCTTAACACCACCATTTATATAAAAGGTAATTGAAACTAGTAGCACAGCTCCATCCCCAGTCTGGTTACCAGCTAATCTAATTGTATGTTTCAACCACACTGAAATAAAGTCCAGTGGGAAGAGTTAATAGGCCTTGTATCTGGTCAGGAGAGACAGCACGTGGTAGAAAGTGAATACAGCAGTAAACAAGACCTGAACTATGTAATGCTCAAATCTACTGAAAGGAGAAACCGAAAGGCACACTTGGCTTCCAACGCTCAGCAGTAGTTTAGTTTAAAGCTTGCAGAAGACATCGTGATGACAAAATCCAATTTAGGCAAGTCTAACCCGAAGTGAGCGTTAGAGGACCTGACAACTAAAATGATCTAGATCATTATATAAAACCACATCATAAAGTCCCGATTTAGATTCATTTTTTAACAGATTACAGGCTTAAACACTCCCACTGCATTGTGCTCAAAGGAGAACCCTAGTCACAAACAGAATTTTCAAGGGGTAAGAAATACCAGCCTAATCCATGCACACAGTGGGAGCTGGGTACTTAAATTCTTCAGCTATTTGTAATAGTCCCATCTTGTGACCGTAGTACCTGTGATTAAGGATGGTAGCATACCATTTCACCTACTTTGTGCTAAGTCCCAACACGGAAAGCTTGGGCATTAAGTTAAAAGCCGTATGTCACTCAATCCAGTTTGACGCACGAACTCTAGAATACCCTTGGCAAAGCAAACACCCTTCACTTCCCGCCTTAGCATTGGGGAAAGTATTGCACCACCTTCCAGTTAGACAGGGGCCACAAGGTATCTTCCTTCAGTTTCATAGTCATACTAGGAAGAGAGACTTGTCTAAGTCACTAAATTTGGCTGAATTCACATAATGTGTTTGTGATGAGGGTTTACAAGCAGCAAAGCTGTCAATTCTTTTAGAACTTGTTCACATCACTGAACAAGCAGCAAAAGCACTTCAGGCCTTCCGTGCTGTCTTTTTTACTTCTTGTAGTTTGTGCATCTCCTGCCTTTAAAAAAAAAAACAAAAAAAGCCAGAGAGAGAGAAAGTACTGCCTCAGAATCAACATACTCGATCAGTAAAACTATCTGCAACTCTTGCTGCGTAAGCAAACATGGCAAAGCCACCTAGAATAGCTTTCTGGGGCGGGCCTGCTTCTGCCCTCATTCTTGGATTTTGCGTAGAAAAAGAGACGCTGCTTGCTCACAGCTCCTTGTTGATGTGCAATGTTCAGCAGAAAGCAAGTCACATTGAAGATAAGAACCAGGCCTTGTTCTATGGCAGTAAGCCCCCCACAGTCACGTAGTACTTCTGGTCCTGTTCTACCATTGCTTCTCCTCCTTGCTCTTTTCCCCCCCAATTCCCAAAAAATCTGCCAAGGATGGAGTGCAAGAGTGGAGCTTATTTAAACTACTCCTTCCAACGATTTCATGTTAAACACAGACTGAGTGTATGAGGTGACTTCGAAAAAGTCTTTCTTTCCTGGTCTTCCTCCAATTATCATTTGATTAAAGATGATTTTATTTTTAAAAAAAGCTTTAAGGAAGTTAAGCAGCGACTTTAGTCTATATTGTTGAAAAAACGCAAAAACTGAACCAGGGCCCCTATATACTCATGTGATGACAGCCCGAGCACATGGTACATTATTACTTTCATCTGCCCCCCTAGACTGGTTTTAGACAATTCTACATGTGTATTTCAATATATTTTTTTAAAACAGGACAAGAGAGTTAAATGAATGAGTACTAAGTGGACATTCCTATTTTTATTATCAAAAAATGAAATTGATGCATTTACTATATTCATTTTTTTCTTTTAAAATTTTATCTTTTATTCACTCATCAAGAGCCAATAAGTTATACAAATCATAGTAGTTTTCATTTTCTTACTGAAGTAGTCAACAAGATTTTTACTTATTTTTATGCTGACTCAGTAGCACATTAGATCTTTCTAAAGAGTGTATTGGTCTTTGTTTTTCCATAGAGATTCTTCTTAAAAACGCTACCTTTCTTGCGCAGGTTTCTGTGAAACCTCTTCCACGTTATTAGCATAGCGTTGCGGTTCCCCCGGGAGGTTCCGAATGCAGCCATATCAGGTGTCAAGGCACTCGACGCTGTGCGGGTCCATTCGCACCTAGAGAACCAGCCCACGAGGCCGTCAGAGTGGCCACCGCGCACCGCAGCCACCCCAACCCTTCCACCTCGCCACTGCTCTTTTAAGGAAGCCACGAATTACACTGAAGCTCCGTGCTGAAGGCAGGGGCAATGATTCCATGTGACAGACGTTAAACCAAATACTTCCGTATTTAATTATGTTAAGAGTTCCAGAAGGTTAAAACTGTAGACAAATGCACAGAACTTCTGTCAATGACAATGAACTGAGGCAGCAACATTGTCATCCCCATGCTTTAAACAGTGTCTAAAGCAACTTCTAAACAAGTACAATTTGGGATACTCATGTAGAACTTAAACAGTGATTTTTGTTTGCTTTACCTAGTATGAAGGGTTTTCAAACACTTCAGTAACTTATAACTAGTCCCACGGTTGCCATTTTCCCATCTGCTTCTCATTAGCAGATGTTTTGCTTTGTATACCCATAATAGATTTTTTTTTTCCCCCCAATAACAATGCAATCTAGTTTTCATGGTAACACACAAAAGCATTCTAGTCTTGCTCCTCTTCATCTCCATCCTCATCTTCATCCCCTTGATCTCCAGATTCAGTATCATCTTCATCTTCAACCTGAAATTAAGACAGATATGTTGTGAGCAGCAGCATCCCTTACTCTGATCCAACCTTTTCAAGACAAGACAAATGCTGAGGGAGTGAAAATAAGCTTAAAGCTCACCTAAAATTATCATGCAGCATCAATCAGCGCAATAAAGGCAACTGTCATCTTGTAACGTCACACAGTTATTAACTTCTCTGCTAAAGATGGCTGACTACTGGGAACAACGGCCTCCACTCAGCACCATCAGTTCTGCCCTGTACATTCGAGTAAGCAACGTCATATGCGCTTCCGTTCCCCATACAGCTGCGTGAACTAAAACCCGCATTCTTCACCAAATAGGCTGAGGGAAATCTGTCCGGTGCTTTGCAACAACATGAGTGAAGCTGCTAATGTCTTCTAGTGTACTTTCTCCCTATTTAAGTCTTTTAAAAGTCAACAGACTCAAAGATTCCTTGACCACACTTAACAGAATCTACACTTACTACAAATACTTTTCAATACGAATAATGCCTCCACCGACTGCAGACTCTTTAAAACCCTATTCATGCAGCTGAAGCTAAACCAGATGACTGTTAACTACCAAAATGTAATCCTTCCTTTAAGAAGGATGGTATAAACGACAGAATGATTGTCTCCCGATAGGAAACCCAGGCTCTAGCCTGGTGTTCAGCCGCAGTAACTGCAGCACAGCAGCTAGTTATGTCCACCTTACAGTCACACGCCAGCTGCGACTCACAAGGATTCTTGAAAGAAACCTCCCTGACAGTTAGCAGCACTGCTTAAGAAGCAGACTAAAGCTTTCTAATAATCACTTGTAGTATCTGTGGAGCGATCCCTTAGGATTGTAACACAGCCATCATCTGCTTTCTAGTTGGCAGCCAGGATAAGCTGCAGCGAGGCCAGGCACGTGGTCAGGTATCATTCCAGACACATACATGACAGGTAGTTTTCCTCTCAGGAGTTTGGCAGTTACCTCTCAACACCCCTAAGCTGAACACTTCTTTCAAGAACTCATCATCTTTTATTGGTGGTTGCCGATACAAGTTCAGAAAGGAACTCCGGTAGATTCAACAGCCCTCTTCATAGAAAGACGCCTCACCAGACTTCCTGGATGAAGTATTGCCACACTCAGACTGCTCAGACCTGCCTCGGACCTGCGAACTCACTTGACCCATTGTTTTGCTTACCGGTACACCAAGATCCTTCAATTTGATCTTCAGTGCAGATAGTTTCTGATCCTGGTCAGCCAAAAGCACCAGAAGATCATCCTGTTCTTTCTTTGATTCTGCAACTTCTTGCTGAAGTTTACTTTTCTCATCTTGCAAGATAGCAACCGTACTACTGGATGAATCCAGGTGCTGTTTTAGCGATTCTTTTTCCTCGGAAAGGGCTTTGACTTCACTCTGGCAACAGAAAAAAATCCCACAAGTTACACTTAAGCATAGGAACAGCTGAAACCTTGTTTCCTACAAACACATTCCATACACTACCTGTAATAGCTCCAACCCCACCAAGTGCCCTGTGGTCTTGCTCCCACACACTTCCTTACCCAAACTCCCCTTATTACCAACCAGGAGTAAGGTAGGTCCAAGTCATAACCGTGGCTGCCTTCCTCCCAGCCAAAGTGGATTGTCCGTGTCAGAGTAAAACTATTTCCTAGACTTCCTTAACAACTCTCTTAAGGCAGACAAGGCCTACATTTCCCAAGTGGAAAGTGACGGAAGAGACGCATCCAGCTTCCCCTAAGTAGCCTGAAACACTTAAGATGCTGAGTAAACAAACCACTTCCACCCAAACCCTTTCCTATTGGAGAAGTCCTCCTAACTGAAGGCTGAGTATTAAGTGACTTGGTTTGGTGTTCACCCGCTACCAACCTTCAACTCTTTTATTTCTCGCTCAAGTCGTCCGTCCAATTCCGAGTTGTTTGCTGCTGTTGCACTGCTGTCTCCTAACACAGGATCTGCAGTTGTATTCTGTCGACAAGAAATTCAGTATCAGAGCACTGAATGCCTCGCATACAAAGACGGCAAGCTAAGACGTTACACAGTCAGTTGTAGAAATTAAAAGCGTATTTTCTTCTTACAGCATAGCCAAAGTGTGGTAGTTATACATCCTGCGCTGCAATACATCAGGAAACAGATCTGTGCTTCCTGGGGTCTCAAGAAACGTGTACACGAAAAGGGAAACACAAGGTGCAACCCTTATTTCATAGAAGCTGCACTCTAAAGAGACTGCTAGGTTTTTTTCGAGGCAGACCCTGTCTATTACAGTCCACCAGCCTTCACTCAGATGCTTCTTAAGTGCCAAAGATTTTTTTTTAATGCCGCTAAATATCCAAATCCTTCTACGTGACTACTATAAATAGCAATAGTTTAGTCTCAGCCAGCCCTACCCAAAGTTATTATTTCAAAACTGCAGCAGCTGTCTTTCAGCAAAAACCGCAACATGGCATGACTTCACGATAATTGCTTCTCCAGTTATACCACGTTTAAGCCAAAGCTCTAGGGAGGGTAGGCAATCCGTAGGATGGCAGTGAGGTGGTCTGACAACTGGTGGCAGCATGGAGCACTTAAATACCCCTCTGCCTCATGAACACACATGGCCAACACATGTCCAATGGCATCTTATATCACAGCAGCTGAGACTTTTGACAATGGAAGCGTTAAAAGCCTTCCTCTCTCAGATGATCCATACATTAAATTGAACACTTGCTATTTTCCCCACACAAGTCCTCTTTCTCGCAATACCAACGTTAGAATTTGGTGCACAACTCAGAACAAACAAGCCAGAAGTAAGAGTTTAAGCGAGTCCAGCTACCACAGACCTGCTACCCTGGTTTTCATTCTAGCAGAGTTGTCAAGCAGGGCACACAGGAGCTACCCTGGTTCTGCTTGAGCACCAAACATCACATTGTCATCGTTTCAGTTGTTCGTGTGGCCCATGCTCCTGCAGCTTTATCTGTTAGCTCTGCTGTGGAAACATCTGTGACGCTTTCATGCAACTCTAAGTTCTCTAGCTAAACGTTCACTTTCTAACGCCATGAGCTAGTTTTCAAGACACAATTGCATTTCTTTAGCTATTCTATAGGGCTTTATTGCTTAATCTTTTCAATACACAGCTAAAAAAAAAGCTCTGAAGCATTTGGAGGTCTGCATAGACAGATGCACCTACCATTTGCCATTCCACTGTACATCAACTTTCAAATTAGTATCGTCAACTGTTTGTAGAAATAATGGTCCCTCTAATGTACATGATATCATGCATTTGCGTCTCACAAGAGGCTATCTCCTTGGATTAGCGTATAAGCTTAAAACACCGAATAGTTGGTATTCCTTTGTTCAAAAATACCAAGGACCAACGGCCTCAGCAATTGACTGGAAGTTCCCTGTTTCCTCATGAAGGATTTGTCTAGTAACACATTACCTCATTTAAAACCCCATCGAAATCACTTGCTGATGTGTATTCTTAAAACAAGCTTGGTTTAGGACAATAGCTACAGACAGCATAAGCAGGAAAGCCAAGACTTCAAGATTTAGTCCCCAAAGAGAAAATGAGCAACTTTTTTACTGGTACCATCACTTGTAGCTTTTGATTCTCAATCTGAAGCTTAGAGATTTCTGTAGACTGTAGTTGTATCTGACTCCTGAGCATTTCTAATTCCTTTGGGAAACAAAGAGAAAACATACTTTTAAGTTAATTTGATAAAGCAAGGTAGTTATTAACATACAATTTTTCTTCAGTTAAATGCTACCAGACTAACTGCTTCATACTAGCATACATGACAGGAAAGCTGCATCTCTCTCTCTCCATGAAAGCACAGCAACCATTTCTCTACAAGACAAAACCTGTCAGCAACCTGCACCATTTTCCACCCTGCTCTTAACAACTCTTTTCTGTGGAATGCCCAACCAAGGCCTCAGTCGTGTTTATAAAAGTGTTTCACACCACTAGCACTCCCGTTAGCATCCTCTACACCTTACCATTCTCGGTGCAGAAACCCATTATGACTTACCAATCCAGGCGTTATTAGTTCTCTAATCAGAGAAACTCGGCTAGGTATTTTTTGAGCAACAGCTACCTTAAATTACTGAATATGCGGGTATTTAAAGACTTACTCTATACTGTACATCTAATACCTGGAATGGATAAACAGATAGGTTTTGCAAGTCTGAAGAGTCAGTTGAAGTGTCTTCTGCTGGCTCAAACCTGCTTAGCAAAAACAACTAATTCGTTTTTGGATGCGTAATCTTGATGCTCCAAGATTAGTACCACCATCACATAAAGGTACACCATCAAAAACATCAACGTGCTCAGGAATCGATGCTCCTCCCTGAAGTTTCCCTTCCCATCCTGAGCTACCACTGTTCACCACAGCTTTGCTGAAATACCAAAAGTTCACCTTCTGTAGTTCATTGTTGTGCTCCAAGCCACCAGATTTGCTGGTCTGTGAAGACTGCTCTGTGGTTCCCATTTCCAACTGTGAAGACTTCTGTAATAGCAACAGGAAAATCAGCCATAGAACTAGACAGACTAAATATAGTCATCTTGTCAGAACCCAAAGCTAACCCAAAGCTTCCATGATCAAAGTTCCCAGCAGAGAAAGTGCAAACAGGCTAAGAAACGCACGTCATAAAGCTCTCAGATTACACGAGAGCAGCTGGACGGTCTCCTCTAAGGTGGTTGCACAAGCATCTTTTACCAATTCAAATGCAGAAGACATGCACAAAATAGAAAAAGCATGTGTCATACTGCATTTTGACGAGCAGGCCACCAAACGCAGGCCACCATAAATATGACTAAGGCGTTACCCCCACTAAGCTCCTAGGAGACTGCTAGCATTTTTTCCCCACCCAAAACTGCCAAAACCCACTGATTCTACAGTACAACAGGTCAGCTGCACAAATTACTCTTGGGAACAGTGTGAAGCAGGAAAGGCTCTGCTCAAGCCACCTCCCACCATATTTCCTACTATCAGCATGCCATCAGTTACAATTGCTGGACTGCCATCATAACGACAAGTTACAAAGCTTAAGGCAAATTACATTTGAAAACAGGAATTGGAAGCGGCATCAGGTTCTGCTGAGAGAGTTAGCGCTTACCAATTTTTCAATCACAGAATCCTTTTCCCTTAACTGCCCTTGCAGCAGCTCATGCTTGTTTTTCCATTCTTCCAACTCCTCTTTCAATTTGCTCACTTCTTCCATCTGAATGCCGTTCATCTGAAACGTATCACTGTGGGAATTATGGTGCTGAGTGTCCTTTCCTAAAAAACAGAGTTTATAACTAAGGTCACAAACACCAACATCATTTTCAACTTAGCTTCAAACACACCAATTCAAGTACGTATTTCCCATCATCCTCCTGGCCCGCAGGGCAATACAAGCCATTCTAACTCAATAACCAAAGCAGCATATTTAAGAATTCTCTAGCAAAAGCTGAATAAAGAGCTCTAATTTGCCATTCCTTCAAGTATGCTTCAGTCATTCAGTTCATCCAAAGTAAGTTCATAGACAAAACATTCTCTGGAGGAAGGACAATTGTTTCCTTGGGTATTTTTAATCACAAAAAATCCTGAAGGCAGAATTACTTTCTGAAATCATGTCATATCCAGCTCATCAGGCATCTTGACCTTGGAATAACTTGAATACACTGTCCTGATTTAAGCATTCAGTTAGCAGCCTCTCTAATGACAGTAATAGGCCTCACCTTGCACATCTGCCATACCACAGTTCTTCCCTAATTCATGCTTTCGTTCACAGACCCAAACTTCAGCACACACCGTAGCCCATCTGTTCATGTTCTCAGTCTGAACAGGCAACGGCGGTTTGGACTGACTTAAGAAACAAAGGCGTAGAAAGCCTCTACCAGCAGCTCCCTGGTAGCCAACAGTTCCTACAGCAAGCTTCAGCTCCTACCCCTCACCAGGCACACCGGCAGCAAAGTAGCTAGGGTGGCAAGGAAGGGCTTTGCTTTTCATCGTGGGCAACCAAAGTGATAGCGGGATCAGGTCAGAAGCTATCGCTAATCCCAGTACTTCCATGTGTCCATCTAAGTGAACTGTCTGGTCTACAGCGGTCTTCTTCAGGTGCTTGTTTTCCCCATGCGCAGGCCTACGCGGCAGATACGCCCTAGCTCAAACGGATCTTGCAGAAAACGGTACTATTATCTCAAGAGACTCAAGACTTAAGCACAAAGGAAGAACAAATTATACCTCATTCACATTTTCAGGCTGTCCTCTCAGTTCTCACTGTGCTTTATTCTGTAAATTTAAAGCAAAACCTAGTATTTTTAGATAATGAAGCAAATCTGATGCTTAAACAAAATTGTTTGCAATGTTTTCAACATCAACTTGGAAAAAAGTATGTTTTATCTGTATGGTAAGTTTTCATACGCTGCAGAACATACAACAGCATGCCTGAAGCCATAGAAGGTTGTCTGCTGGAGCTGTTCTGTAGCTTGCCGTAAATCACACAAGATCTTTGCATTAGCAAGTCTATTTTTTTTTATTCTTTCTGAAGCCTACCTAGCTGTACTTTAAGGAGATTATATTGGTCCTTATGCTGTTGGATCTGCGACACTTGCTGTGTAACTGTTACTTGGAGCTGTTCGTTTTGAGATGTTAAAGTGTTAATTCGTTGCTTTAATTCTTCAAGCTCCTGGTCCTATGAAAGGAAAAAAAAGGCACTTAGAGTAATAATACTTTTGAATACAATACCGTGAGGAAGGCAAAAAAAGACAGAATAACCTTCACTCCACCATTACACACTACTGGTTAGTGACACTGTCAGTGCTACCTGTGACAGATGAGCAGGAAAGCCTCATGCAAACCTAGAGAGCTATTACCTAGGAAAAATGCCTGGGAAAGACAGAAGCAGCCTGTCACACCAGACCAATGCCTTATGAATCTTTTGGAGGAGACCTCCAGCATCCCTGCTCCAGGGACAGCAGGGGAAAGAAAAAGGAAATATACGGTATCTGATGATTGTAATTTTTCTCCGTCGCACTGAAGCCTGCACGCATTTGGTCCAATTCAAGAGTCTTTAAAGACGTAATTGCAGTCATCACATGTTCAATAAAGCCTCACTGGCAGTTCAAAAGTGCCCCTTAATTGCACATCTACCAATATATTCTGTGTCCGTTTCAGATTGCTGAACTGAAAACACCTGCTTCAGTTCCCCATTAGCTATTTAAGTTAATTAACTTTGCTCCTCTACTTCTCTATCTAAGCTGTAACAACAAAACAAGTGAACCACCATTGGAAAAAAAAATTTTTGAGATTCCAACCACAGCAGGTATATCCAAACTTCACTGACAAACTTGATTTCTTCATTCAGCCAATTTCATCTGTCATCTTTTCAAAGGTGAAAAGAGCACAGAACTAAGAACTACATCTCTTTGCGAAGGGCTGCAAATGAGGTCTCCCATTACTCCTTTGAAAAGAAACACGTAAACACAAGAAAGAGCAGATGTACGCCAGGAAACGAATTAAACTTAACCACTATTCTAAGCATTGACATTTCAGTTGAACCCGAAGTTGGCTTAAGTGTTTTTCTAAGTGTTTCTGCATTGCTCGATTCCTCGTTACTTGTTTTGGAACGTCGGGTATCAAACTGCACTGCGGTGCCTCCGAAAGCCAGAACAAACAACTTCTGGAGGCACATGTACAGCGTAACTCCCTCTTACCTGCTCTCTAATGACTTTTTTGTAGTGAGTCACAATGTTGTCATGCTGTTCCAATGTCTTCTTGACCTCCTCCTCCTTTTTATCTTCCTCGCTGGACTTGTAAATGGCTTTGCTTATGACACCTGTCAAAAACAGTTTCTGTCAACTAAAGTCCAATTCACATATCTTTTTTGTCCTCAAAACAGCCTCACCCAGTTTAACTGAGTTCATGGCATTAGCATTAGAAACTCAACTTGCACTTTAAAAAAAAGTAATTGTCACAGACACATTTAAGAAAATAGGAAACGGCAATTTCTTTATAGTGAGGTTTGCCCACTTGCTGCTTTACGCAGTTTCAGAAAAGCAAATGGCTGTTTTGAGTCCTTCCTATCAGAAAAGGTGTGTTTTACTTGCTCCACTACAACTGCTGCCCAAGTGGTTGTACAAATAAGTGAAAGATTTAGGACTCCAAGGACAACATGCAAATGAAACGTGATGGGGCAAACCGATTTTATTGTTGCTGCTTCAACGTTTTTTCCTTCTCTACACTGATTTAAGTTGGGCAATATTAATAAACAGGACATTAGTTGGATGTTAAGGATGATGACAACCTGTCTCTTTTGTGAAGGAAAGAAAACACTAAAGAAAGTCCCTATCATTTTCTAGCAAGCCAGGAAATGCAGTATTCTTCATTTTTCTTAATGAATCGGTTAGAAACAGCAAAGATCTAGATTGCGTACTTCAAGCTTCTGTGACCATCCGACCAAAGTATGTGCTCAATACTCTAGTTTCTGTGTGAGCACAGGTAAATATACCTCTTGGCCACAGTGTGGTAACTCACAGCACATATTAAGAATCATTTCAGCTAAGAATATAAAGTTATCCAGTTAGTATAATGTAATAGTATAGTATAATACTGCGAGTATTTTTACTAAATACTTGAACTGTGAGCTTGGGTATATGATTCCTTACAGCTATTACTGTAACATATTTTTCAGAATACTCCATTTCAGTATCATCACACTACTTTTAAGACGGTTACATTCAGCACATTTGGTAGTGCAGTCATCAGTTCATCACAAAAACTACAGAAATAAGCGTAACATCTCACCTTCCAACTCCTTTACAAGCTTGGTAAATTCATGATCAAACATCATGTGGTCTGGGCTAGAAAAACTAGGCTGTGGTTTCTGAGCCGCTCTGGAATAAAGTTCATGTTTGCTAATGAAGCCAAGCTTCTCAATGAAGTTCTCCCTGCCAATCCTCTTCTCAATCAGCTGTTTCAGCTTCTCTCTAAAAGGAAGAGACAACTCAATCACAGTGCAACACTTGAAAAGAAATTAACCCATCCTTCCCTCAAGGTGGATTTTCCAGTTACAACTCTGATTATCTGTCTCAAGTCTTAACCGCACTAGATGCTTTGCATTCAAGATGCAGTTTTTCAGTTGCCACTGACATCTGTTCTCAGTCCAAGAATACACAGGTTAGGAGGACCTATGCAAAACAACTGTCTGCTTTGCCTAACTAGCGGTGGGTCAGTTATATTGCATCCCGTAAGGACCATGCACAGAAAATACTCAACCAAATATTCTCGACTGCACCATCTCAATTCAAAGCCTCTTAAACCACCATCTGCTATTCACAGAACCTTTCACTATTTTTTTTGTCCTCTTATTTCTACATCATACTTACTTCCTATAATTTTCAAGGGAATTGTCATTGTAGTAGATGGAAATGCCAAGCAAAAGTGCACACAAGCCTTGGACGAGCTGCTCCTCTTCTCCAAGGTTTTCAGCTATCTGCCCTGTGAGCTAAAGCTCTTGTTAAGGATATTGGAGCTATTTCATAAGCACAACACATGTAACACACTTCTCCCTGTATAAATTCCCATTTAAAATCGTGTTCACACGTAAAACCCAGCTTGATTAGGAAGTCGGCAAAATAGCTGATGAAACCCTTGCCAAGCTAGGTCCTGTTTTGAAAGACTCGGGTCAGCAGTGGTTTCCCTGAAATTTCTTTTCTCAGTAACCGCCTGCTTAACCAAAGAGATTTAGTTGTTCCAAAACAGACTTTCAGTTTCGATAAGGTGACAGTTTAGCCTTGGGTACTTAAGTCAGATTTTTTCCTGAAAAGCAAGCATAGAAATAAGCTTCCGCAGAAGTAGGAAGCATTCTTCCTACCTCTTGGGTATAAGCCTAAGTCACACTAAAAATATCAATGGGCTTGTCACAATAAAACATACACTTTGCTAGCAGAATGACGTAGCTTTCCGCTGTACTTCAGTTTACATGCACATCTTATAGACAGGTCAGCGTACACAGAACGCTGTCAACAAAAGGCGGGTTATCTCTCTTGCCCCAATGCATTTTCTTTTATGTCATGCTGTATCCCTGCAAACTGATCCAGATAAACATTTAACTCGAACGTGAATAATCCAAGTGACTTCTAGGCAAGCGGTTCTACTCTGCAAGCAGGTCAAGGATACAAAAGGTATATTGGCTGGATTGTGAAGGAAGTGGGTGACAGCAATCGAGCAGTTGCTTAGCCAAGTGCAAAGCAACATCAGTAGTCCAACCCTGGTCTGTACTTTGCTGCCCTGAAAAGAATAAAAAACCCCATCGTTATCTTTCCACAGTGGAGGACTCAAATACGAAAAAAAGCTGTACCGATTCAGAACTCGCCCACTTTCACCTCATCATTTTAAAAACGACAAGTCATGTCTTTCAAAATACCTATTCGTTAGTTATAACGACCACAGCTTTAGTGCTTTGATGAAACAAGTATTAAAGCATTCATATTTAACTATTTTCAGAGCACAACAACAAGCAACACAGATGTGAAATTAGCACCGATATAAAATCGTAACAAATTAGTTCTGCATTTATAATTAATACTAGGATAACATGAAGGAACATACACACAACCCCTGTAAAGAAGGAACAAGGTATAAATTAAGTTAGGTAAGGGTTCCTAACTTTATTTAAGAACTGGATTTAAGATGGATTCCTAACTGCATTCCTAACTGGATTTAAGAAGAGATACATCACTAAGACTTCCCCTGCTAACTAAAAATTGCCATGTGTTCCTAATATTATTTTCTAAGTAAAGAAAGGCGATACTGGAGCGGCTTTCGGTTCAGACAATATGCACATTAAGCCAGCAAGAGGAATGCTAACTGCAGCATTTGTTTTTGTTAATTAGGGAAATTGAGTTTTCATCTGCAAACTGTCTTCTCAATTCTGTCCCCCTTGTCTTTGCTGCAGATATCGTGGGCACAGTGCTAAGACAGGAATACATCTCTTCCAATAGTCAACATTGAGAAGGCAACCAAGGAAAATGTTCCCTGCATGGAAAACTAAACTTGACACAAGCACCTAATAAATTGGGTAAAGTAACTGGAAGCTCAACTCAAGTCTCGACGGTAAAATGAGGCATATAGAACTGCTGGGATATCTTCAATAGGGGGCAAGCACATATACCGGAACGAGCGGTCACAGGGATCAAGACAGTGGCAAAAGAGAGAAGTATCACCACCAACAAAGAAAGAGTCTGCGCTTGAGAGTTATCTGCACTTGAGACATTGAACTTCCATCCTTGCCCCTGATAACCCCTGTGCTTTAGAGCTGAAGGTAGCGTTATATTAAACTTCAGCTAAGCATTAAAAAAAAAAAAAAAAAAAAAAGAGCCCCCCAAGGTCTTTGAGAATAAGCCAGTTTGCCCATCGAAACGGCCAGTGAGAAGCTCTTCTGTAGCAGGCTCCCAGCTACCCTACTGCCACTGCGGACCACAAGACAGACAGGAATTGAGTCTAGCAACTCTGGAAGAAAATACCAAGCTCTGAAGAGACTGCCTTCAAGGACTTCCTTCTGAGGCGCTGTTATTTGCTGCAGTCTATCACCATCACTAAGACGAAACGATCTCCTTAAAGGAGGGGAACAGAGATTACAGATATTGAGACCGTGGCAGCCATCCCTCATGCTGCACACATAGGAAAGGGAGCATCTGGCCCTTTTTCATCATCATCATCGTCATCACTTCCAGAGGCCCAAGTGAAGCGTGTCAGAACAGCAGAGAACGCAGCCATCACCACCAACTGCACAGCCCCTGCCTGTGGCGTTTCACGGTGAGTACTACATGCCCTACTAGCAATCATTGTTTAGTCTTAGCTATAGGTTTATCTGCAGCTTTGCTGTGACCCTGTCGTGCTGCTGTATCAAGACACAGATTACCTTCCTCACTGCTACCCTTCTAGCTGAAGGCCACAACTGGTTTCCACTGACCTAGATCTCACTGTGAACTGCCTAGTCCCCACCAAACTCTGTTCTCCTCTTGCCCTCTCCTCTCCTCTGGACTGGCTCATTTAGCTTTCCCCGTCACCACTGTACATTTCCCCTACCCACTTTGTACTTGGTAATTAGTTAATGACTTGCGTGCAACACAACACTTTCAGATCTCTGCTCATGAGGTGACATTTATTTCCATGAGAGTCTAATGACAAGTCATATTTAAGAGATATTCACTAGCATATATTAGGTTTACCCACAAAGGCAAGACAGGATGCCCAAAAAAAGCTGTCTCACCGCTTTTTATTACCCGCTAGGTAAGGCTAAGAACTGTGTTCACACTCCAGTCTTCAGCTGAAGCATGAATTAAGACACAAGGTGACAAATCATAGGCCTTAACACCTCATACAGAAAATCATCTGCCACACCACACTGGTCTTGTCAACTGCAATAGTATGGTCTTGTGAACAGCTCAGCTGAAGAACTGCTGACCGCACAGGCCCTTCTTGCTAAACCGAAGCCTCTAGACAGGCATTTTCCTTCCTCATTACCATCTCACCGAACTACAGGATCACTTAGGTTGAACGGGACCCTGGAAATCACCTAGGCTGTACACTGCTTTAGCACGAGAGCGCTGTAGAAGCACTAACTCTGCCCAAATTACTTACAGAGTAGATGCAGTAACAGCCTCATGACACCGCCTACTGTGCAACTTAACCTGCCCCAGAAACCCCTTTGGGGAAACATGACCCCAACGCAGCAGCGCTGAAGGATGGGGTGTCCTTGCATCCGCTGGATGGATGGAGCGTCCACCCTCCACACTTGCAGCGTAACCCCACCTGCAAATACCATCATGCAATGGACAGGGAACCTGCCCTTTTTTCCTCACTCATTGCTCCTCACACCTCAGACCGCTTCAAAACTGCCAGGAGTACCTTCTCCCAGTCCTTCTGCTCTAGAGAGAGAGCTATGCCCCTCCCTATGCTCACCCTTAAAGTCTCCAGCAAACCTGAGAACAGGCCACTTGGCTTGACCAACTCCACCAAGCTCCTATTTCTACAAATGCCAGACTTTGCTACACTTAACCACTTTAATTGCTGGCAGCCTACATTTAATCCCACAATAACCACCCATACAACACTGCTTTCACCCTTCTGGGAGAGACAGAAGTTACTGGGAGCGACCAGAACCAGTCCAAGGAAGTTAAAAGTTCAGACTGAATAATTACTGACAAAATGGCTATGACGTCCATTATCTGCGCAAAGACATCAGTCACGTCGACTTACTATTCGTCAAAAGGTGGAGTCAGTTCTCTAACTGAACAAAAAGAAATGCGTGCTTCAAACAGAACAAGCAAGCAACACTAGAAACCTTTTCCCCTCATTTCCAGTCTTATTGTCCCAACACTATTAGCCTGTTCGTACACACCGGGAATAACCACTGTAACTGGCAGTCTTGCCCTACAGCACATTGGCACACCTCGTGCTTCTTCAAAGAACACTGGTAGAAGTGTCACTTATCTTGTCAGAAACGCAAAGTTACTTTTGCTGTGCAACCTGGCATTTACAGCACACATCATCTGCTGGAAGCAGTCACAAACCGCATTAATTCTCGAGCGCTGCATGCTATTCTGAGGTCAAATTAACATATTCTGCCTAAGGATTTCCACACAGTCCGTAACACCCTCTCTCTCAAAAAAAAAAAAAAACCAACCAAAAAAAACCACACACAGCTATTTTCTAGACATACCATAATAATCCCTGCTGTGATAGTGATAGACAACAGGTCTGCATGGCTGCTGTTTTACAATTCAGGGCTGGTAACAGTACAACCCCGCCCCTCAGGACAACTGTGACAGATGTGGTGAATTGAGTAGAAAATTCCTCAGCAGCGGTACTTCAAAATTGTTTTTTTCTGCCACCGATACCCAACCTAGCAGCGCTTTAAGTAACACAACCTGAAAGTCAAACAACTCACTTCAGGGGTTATTACCTAGTAACGAGATCCCTGCTATTCACAACTAGTAGCTCCAAGGTTAAAACTTTGGCTGGCAAGTAGAATGTACAAAGTGGCCGGAAGGCAGGTTAAACAGAGTTTTTCTTTTAGCGGTCAGGAAATCAGCAGCATGTTCCCACTCCAGATTCTACCAGCTGTTTGCTACAGGCCAGTCCAAGAAAACAGCATTTCTAAGAGTTTTAATTTTTCTTACAAGAAAGCGCATCTGTTAGGTGAACAGATGGTGAATGAGTCCGCCCCACTGGAAAGAAAGCACCCGTGTTACCAAAGATCTTTATCCCATAGTTTTGTGGAGCACCCCCAGAGAATCCCCTGGACACACAGAAGGAGCTTGTTACGCTAGGAAAAAACCCAAACCCAACTGCAACACAAAGCTGTAAGTGGAAACACGTCAAAAAGCAGTTAAAGAAGACTTCCCCAGCAAAACCCAAGACAAGAGGAAAAGGCCTGCTTTTGGCAAGAAAATGCCGAAGCTGTGCCAAAAAATACATACCCGTCTGTCGATCTTATCACCCTGCAAGTTACACACATATTACTTGAGAACCTTGAAGTGGAACACATTTCAGAAACATCCCCCCAAAGTTTGAGTCCCTTGTATCATTTAAGGCTAAAGAGCCACCGGCAGTTTTACTGACTCAAATTTACCTTAGACAAAAATGCCGGGAAAAGGATAAAAAGGAGTATTGTCTATTTTCTGGTAAAGCAGATGGAAAAAAGTCACATAAATGAATTCAAAATTCCAGCATTCTGCCATTATTCTCAACTGCAGGAAACTCCTGCTGCCAGAGTTAACTAGCTCCTTATTATTACAACCATTCTGGGAAAAAGTATGCGTAACAGAAGCGAAAGTCACAAGGAAGCGTGGGCTAGGAAGTGGAGTGCAGTCACTTGTCATTTGCAAAGCCGGGTGTTAACATGTTGAACAAGTTCAAAAAAGCTTTTAGCTTTGAAAAGCAAAGCCAACAAAAATCAATACATGAGAGCCGGGTATTTTCAAGATGTTTCAAGTTAGCAGTTACAGGTTAAATACTAACCACGCACTTCCTCAGCAACAAAAGTGACTGGGGATTCTGCCAGTTTGCCTTGTCTTTTAAAGCAAGTTTAAGTTCTAGATGCTTTAGGACCCTCTGCCTACTGAGAGTAGGCAACATCAAGCAGCAGCTGCTGATGGAAAAGCAAGATTTGCTGCTTTTCTCCTCCCCCTGAAGCGCAGAGCGCTTTAAACAAAGCTTAAAAACAGTCAGCGGGAGAGAGGATCCTCCTTCTCGCTAAGCTAGCGCTCATGTCTTCCAGCGACGCACCTGCACAATAGCAGCATTCTTCCTGGATACCCGGAGCTTTAACCCACAGCGGGGTGGGCAGTCGGTGCCGTACCTGCGAGAGGATGTTGGTGCACTGCTGCAGCAGCGACACTGGCGGGTTGCCGATGCTCGTCGCTAGCTGAACTCTGAGGAGCTGTTCTTTCAGAGTGGCGTTTTCCTGTAAGGCGTGGGCCAGGGCCACAGCGGCACACCAGTTTGAGAGAGAGTCCGTGGAAAAGAGGCCCCCACAGAGCAGCTGACCAGCTGAGACAGAGTTACCTGTAGCTACCAGAACAGCCAAGAGGTCCAAGTGAGATTAAAACAAGCCACAAAACCGGCAAGATATTAAGATATTATCATCCACGTACAGTTAAAACCCAGAAAGATGAAACTCGTGAAGTTTTAGAGAAATCGTAAGCCAAATCATCTTGCTTGGATCAGACACTCAATGCCAGGTAAATAATTTTGCAGAAGACATCAGTCGATGTATGAAACATTTGCGCTAGTTCACAACTCACTGCAGAGACATTAACTTTGCATACCGTCAATCGTAGATGGCAGAAGCGTTGAAACAATTTCTCCTTGTCCTTTTTGGTTTTTGTACAAAAAGCACTGGAAACAGTAGAGAACGGCACAACGCAGCACAAAAGGCTGCCTTTCGTTTACCATGGACATCAGAAGTACTACAATTGCAGGCCTATTTGCAAAGGCAAGAGAAAAACCGTTAGGACAGAGTCGTGAATGAAGACAACGGCAGATACAGAATTTGGAGTGTATTCTCCAGGTAAAGAAAGAGACTTTTGCCTACTCCATCTATTACCATTTCAAACATTGGAGTAAAACCTTTGGTTTTAATAGCAAAGTTTTTCAGTTAGTTGAAACACAAAACAGTAGTGTAATTACACATGACTGCTATGAGCCAGTGTTCCTCCGCAATATTTTCATTTCCCGTCGAGTCCCCTGCTGCTCCCTGCTAGCTTCAATAACACTGTAGAGGATGCCTCATAAGGCCGCTAGCAACCTGTAATACAGAATGGTCTTTTTCTACCCTCACCCTCGTATTCAAAAGTTGAGACTAAGATCTCATTAAGCTAACACCTGCTGTTCCCCAATCTGAGTAAATTATCAATTACCTGCCTATTTTCCTAGCCTCCAAATCCTTTTGTAGACTGTCCTCTGGCTGACTGCGGCAACTCGTCCCGATCTAGGAATTTCTCAACTATTGCTCATTCGCTTTTCAGGTACCACATAACAAATAAAATCAATTCCGGGCCTCATCTCTGTGGAAACACATCTGACACCTTCATGGTGTCACCCCAATATGAACTTGAAGCTGTTGCTCTGCATCGTAATTCCAAACTCCGAATTTAAACAATCCTGTGGATTAGACTGGCATTGCCCATACCAATACATCACTACCTAACACCGTTAAACACTTTTCTTCCTCTACCTTGGTGGATTAGAAGGTGCATTTACAGACGCAAAGTAGTCTTGATTCATCTGGCATCCTCGAATGACCTCTGATACAGTATTAATGGTCTACAGAAAGGGTAGAGAAAAAAATTAAATGGATAGTTAAATGTCAGCCATAATCTGCTACCTAGATCACTCAAAATTATTCAAGATCACCCTGACAGCTCGGTATCGAAAAATACATACCAAGACTCAGCATAGAGATTTATTGAGTAACACCATTTCAAATGAAATCCAAACAACTAACAGCTGTGAAGCACAGTGAGCAAAGGTTAAGGGACAGAAAGCTCAGACAGCTCTATCGTACCCAGTTACCTCCAACTTCATTTTCTGTGTCAGATCAGTTTTGCTATGAAAGCCAATTAAACTGGACATGTTAAAGAAGTCGAAAGGTGAAACCTTGGAAGAGATAAAAAAATTGGAACGGAGGCCGCGCCAAAGGAACCAGCCTACACTCAATCTAAGCACATCATTTTATCGAGGGAAAAAACACCTCATCCTACACTGCTGACAGGGCTTTCTGGAAGCTAGAAATCGCTCCTCATTGGAAACCTGCCGAGTCAGAATACTTCTAGACTCTCTCAAAGGAGAGAAACAACAACAAAAAACCCACCCTCTAAACAGGCAAAAACATAGAATCAATTCATCCGCTCTGGGATACGCTGAAATCCAACAGAAACAGTAAGCAAATGCAAATACTTTCTGGTTGCAGAATATAGTGTAAAAGACTACCTTACATTTATGTTGCCCACACAGAAAGCTGACATCTCCGGCATCTGAAATACTTTCTTAGCAAATACTATAATTCCGGTTTGTCTCTGCAGCAACCAGTTATCCCTGTAGACTCCTGCTTTCACCCATTTAGTTGCCCCCATCCCTACATCTATTTGCTCCCTCTTACTCAGCAGGAACTCCAGTTGCCATGAGGATTGTGCAGAGCTGCTGTAACAACCCACAGTGAAACATTGCCTTCTGACAACTGCTGGTAGCACCAGGAGGGTTTGTGGGAGACACGAGTACCCGCACAAGCTATAAATAAACAAATGTTTGCATGTGAGGAGAGCCCGAGACCTTCTGAAATGCAAAGCAAAACAAATTTACCCATTTCAAGTTTAGCCATGAAATAGAATTGCTCCTAAAAATGGAGACAGAAGACAACACTTAAACAGCACGTTCATCTTCTTACTGCATATGGCCATTTAAATTCAGTGAAACCCTCTAAAATCTTCAAATATCTGACTCCATTGCAAACAGCTGCAACTAACTGATGAGAAATCAAGCTGTAACTATTCTATTATTTGGCTCGCCATTTGTCAGAACTACATTTCAGAAAGTGAAAATCTGCCTTCACCATTCATGTTCAGCTTCCACACAAAGTGCCACAGAACAGGTAAACCTTATTTCATTTTTTTGGAGGGGTGAGCAGAAGGGAAGATGCCTAACAATCAATATTTATGAACCCATAGTGAAGGCAGCTACTGGAACTCGGTTAATGCACCATAGCCATACGTGAATTCGTACAGGAGGATTCTTAGGATTACCCCCAATTATGTATTTAACTCAAGTCACTGTTACATCTTAAGTTACATGAAATGAAGTTATGCGATATGCCAGCCATTACAAATTCAAAATTTGGCAATAGTATTTGTGCTGAAAGCAGTACATCTCACGAATGTCGGTAGCTAGTTCTGAGCTAAAGACAAGACATAGATTTCGCAGTTAACTATTACATTACACTTACTCTTCATTCCAAGAGAGCTGAAAAAGTGTTGACGTCAGTACTTAGGAGTTAGATGAAGTGTTTTACCTGCAGCATTAGGTGAAGATTAGTTACTTTCTGTGCAGACCACCCACAGTTATCATCTCCAACTTCGAACCAAGGCTTCATACGCTGAATGTATGAACCTTCTTTAAAGAAATTCTGATTGGAATTATTATTCTTCAACAAGTTTTGTAATAGGAGAAGACAGTCTTCCACTACTATTCCTGGTGAGACAAAAACCCAAAAGATTAATCAAAAGATGACACACGGAAAACTAACTAGCTTCTCCACGCACCGAGTATGTTCTAGATGGAACAGAGCACGCGCTTCTGAACTCTTCATTCCTAACAAACATTACATTTGGATCAAGAACTGTGAACCTCATGCATGAAAAAATAATCTAAGGTCACTCTAAATTGACTACATCACTGTTGAGCCAGCGTATTTCCAAGGAAACTGTAATTGTGTTTCTTCGACAAGTCCGAAGCAAAAACGTTATTCCCAAAGAATATACAGTTTGCATGGGTTAATTGGGTAGGAATGGGAAGACCTTCAAACAAAGCCTCACAACCACTTTGTGTCTTGCAGTATACCTACTTCAGAGTCAGGCTACACTACTGTCTCTTTGTATTACAAGCGCTAAGATGAAGTTCCTCTTGAACTGCATCATGATTCAAATGCAGCAGTTCTTACTGGATTACACATTCATTCTCTTTAATCACCGGCTACATCTTCCACTCATCTCAAAGCTACTTTTTGGGTTATTTTGGTGGAGAAGCAATTCTTAGAAATAGCCCTTACAATGAGCCAATTCAAACTCAACTTCTTGGAGTTGCAACAGCTTTTTTTCTTTTTTTACCCTCAGGTTTTATCTGTACTGAAAAAGCACTGTAGATGCTAGTCAACTATGTGCTCTGTGAAGAGAAAATCCTCCGACAGCTCTGTCCAGAAGACAATACGAATAAAGGCAGCCTGCTGCTGGTACTGCTGGGATGCCTCCAAACCTGGACTCGACAGAAGGGACGAAGGTTTACTCCTTGCACTTCCGAAAACACACAGTCAGTGCCAGAGTCGGGAGTGGGAGAACTAAGAGAGACCAGCTGCCACATTCCCCCCTCCCCGCTCCTGCTGCAGAGCCACGGCTGGTAACCCAGCCCTCGGCAGGGATGCAGACAGGAGGAATAGACACGTAGCAGGGGGGAAGCAGAGAACTCTTTGCACTTAGGAATTTACATACCAAGTCTCCTAAAATTATTAACGGCCTAAAAATAGCAGCTTTGAATCAAAGGTTTGCTTAATCCTTCCATGCAACACACCTGGAATAATTCAGCTGGGAAAGAAGCATTAACTGCTCCTGCAGCCCACAGAAAGCTCATGGAACAGCAACAGCATGTGTTGTTACTGAAATAGATCCTGTAGCAAACTACAACTGGTGGTAAACTCATAATGGGCTGCTAATACAAAAAATAAAGGGCACCTAAGTGCTGCATCATTTTTGCTCATTTTTTTTATTCTTCCCCCCTCCAACAGGTAAATGACTTGGCAAGGAGCTGACCAAAAAACTGAAGTTATAGTGAGGCTGAAGAAACTCAGCAAGCTGTTACTCCGAGCCACTCCAAGCATCCATGGATCTTGCAGGAGGAATGCAAATGCCTAACTCGTAAGTGACAAATGCGGCATACGCGTATCTGACACTGCCATTCAAAGTATATACATTCACAGACCTAAGCCAAACAAGAACACACAAACTCACACACACACGCTCAGAGAAATTAAGTGATGTTTTAACTTCGCATCTCAAGACTAGTTTTCAAAAGATGCTGAAACCCTGCCTACTTGGCTCAATCTGTTTTTGCTTGTTTTGTTACGACCAGACTCTGTGTTTTGATCCTTCTACCCACTGACCTAGCTCCTATTACATACTAAAGTCAGCCTGTAAACATTGTCACCTAATAGTTCGTGCAGAAGCACAAGACTAGGAGTAAGTCTTAGACTTTTCTGTACCTCCATCGCTGTTTCCTTCTTCTGTTATGATATCCAGAAGTCTCTCAAAGGCATTTTCGAAGGCAACAATCTTCTGTATGGCTGCGTTACTTTTTGTCAATTGCTGTAACAACAAGACTCCCTTGACAGGTGGGGGAGAGAAGAAATTAAACTTAGTTCTCCTAGAACTACATTGCTTTTCACAAATCACAGCTCTTACAAGGATGCTAAATGAGGAGCGTAATCGTTAGCCAGAATCACAGGACAGAACTGCAGGCCCTGCAACTCAGCACATGTAACAAAACCCACCATGAACGCCACGCAATAGTTGCCTCGTGCCTCACGGCGCTTCAAAATAGAACCACGGTACTCTTAAAAAGGATGCTAAGTGGCTATAGAGAAGAAAGAGGGAACTTGTAAAGCACCTCATCTCTTCAGTAATAAGCAATTAGAGCATTTTGACACGTGATGAATAAAGAGGAAGAATTGAAGTAAACCTAACAGAAGGCCAAGAGAAAGATCAGCTAACATACTAGGAAAACCCTACACAAGGGTCAAGGTTTGCATTAAATACACAGTAACAGTTTGCTTTTGTTACGGCAATTGTGGCAAGACATCCAAAAGCCACCCAACGCAAATGAGGAATGAAATATTCCCAAGTAGCAACCACAATGATTTCTTCACGTGCATTTGTTTAACTTAATCCAAATTCTGCACAAGTACTAAGCAATTCAATTGACAGTTACTATTTATGAAGAGGATAAACTGTCGTCGTTCTGTACTTACATCATTTCGTATAACCTCCCTAGAGTCTGCTAGTAAATCCATGAGTCTGGAAACACCTGCAAGAAACGCATTAAAAAACAACAGCGTAAAAAAGGTGCAGCTTTTTCTTGCCGGAGGTCATTAAAGCACCTTGCTTGAGACTCCTCTAGCCCTCTGCCAGGACGTTTGCTGAGCTTCCAGCTCCAAGTTTATCGGCGATAAACTCAACCACTTACCCATAGGGCTGACAAGAATTATCTGCTGCACTTGAGGTCCTTGCTGCTTTAAAAGAGATGTAAGTAGTTTCACTCCAGGCCAACGAACATGGAAATCAAATTCCTGCAAAGATGGAGAGGAGTACATTAAGTAATAAATTCCTCAGTATTCAACTTTCTCTTCTAGACACCAGTTATGCATAGACACGAAACGGATAAGGAATTTCATCTCCCATCAATTTCTTTTTTCATCCACCCTATTACAGCACACGGCCAACAAGTCAACACACTATCCTGTTCCGTGGTTCCTTCTATTTTATTATCAGCCATGTGAACGCCCAGCAGTTTCCTTTCCTGCCTCTCCTCTGGGGTAGCTTTCCTAGCTATTTCTTCTTTATAAAAACCAGTCAGTGCAATCCTCCAGGGATCGGCCCATGCTACCCAGAAATACAAGCGGGAATGAAAAGCAAGCCCTTTTGTATTATTCCCCTTCTTCCTATTCCTAAACAGAAACAGCAGCTTCTCTGTTAAAACAGGGTCTTGTCAGCAAAAGAAAGCTCAAGAACTGTCCATGGACAGACTTGACCAACCGGAACAAACCTTTGGGCTCCCCAGGTCAGCTCAAACTCATTCAACAGCTGGTGACTGGACCCACATCTCAATTGAGTCACCTCACAGAGCTTTCTGTACTTCTAATCCTGGTGGTTTTAAAGCATCACCTTGAACTAAACCAGTAGATCACTAATTTGGACAAGCAGTCTTATATTACCCCTGTTCCTAGTTACAAGTGAAAACTGAACGTGTGTCGTCCTTTCCTCAGCACCCTGCCTACCCCAGGCACTGGCCAAGATCAACATCTCCACTCTACTTGGTGCAAAAGAGAGGTGGTAGCTAATCAATTTTCTAACCGTCTCGGCAAACAGGCTAGTCTATAAAGCTTTTTCTACAACTGACTCTTGTACAGGACAAACCCTGAATGGCACGATACTGCTAGCAAAGAGGACGCTAAACTAAGGCATCTGCAGAGATAAAGAACGGATAACTTGGAAAACACCGCGCAAGCTTCCAGCTCTGCACAAGCGATATACATTTTTATCAAACGACACTTCTGCGTGCAATTGCACACCAAGCTAGTTTCAACGTCACACAGCTCCACCTATAGGTTTCACTCATATTTAGGCCAGATGCTTGCATTTCTGAACTTGCAGGTCTCAGATTTGGATCAATAAAATCAACAGAACCCTGCTGCGGAGTAAGGCCCTAGTCTAACTTGTAACAGATACATCAATCAAGTATATCCTGGATTTCCCTAAAATACTTATTGCCTTTATGCATCTCAGGAATGTATTTATAAGCCAACCTTTCACACTCACTAAGTACTTTCATAGGACTCTTAGCGACAAACTGAAGTTTCAGAAAGACAATTTTACTAACTCACTAACCGTAGTCTACAAAACTGTGCTCCTGATTTGCATTTCCATCTACTGAGGCCTAAATTCACCACTCGGGGATTAAGCCTCAGATATACTGACAAAAGTTTAATACTCCTGAAAGCATGACATATGCTCCATATGGGAAGAGTAGAACATCATCTTTTCACTGAAGATGGACTACGAAGAAAAAAAAAGAAACAAACAAACAAAAAAGAGATATTCATGTTGCTCTTATTCTCTCAAGCACAATCATACTCTTAGTTTGGAAACAAACTTTTTAGCAGTTGAAAATAAAGAGACAGTCCTTGAGGATAAAACCATTGGAAAATGAGTTAAACGTATCACGCTGATGGAAAGCAGTCACCCTTTCTACTTGAACTGCATCTCAGACATGACTATCTCGTTATCATTTAATGATCATCTAAAACATTATCCTTGCAGGAGTGACAACAGTTGCTGTTTGTGGAGCAATGTTTTTTACTGGTTCTAATCAAGTCGCTAAACCCCTTTCAACGTTACCCTGCTTTAAAAGCTGCACTAATGGCGTTCATCCCGGTCATAGTCTTCTCTCCAACCCCACATTCGCTATCTCTAGGAATACCTCACATTTGACATAGGCTTCACTAGAAGGACAAAAACATACCTTTATCCATTGAGATAACCTCCCTGTACAGCACTACCTACCTCTCAGTATTCCAAGTATGATACTGTTACTCACCTCCACAAGAGTCAACAAGAGTGTGACATTTTCCTGCTGTTTAATGAAAATCTCTGTGAACTGACTTCCCAAATCGTCAACTTGTTTTGGTAAGTTTTCTTCTGTAATAGTAAAAACCAATGTATTACAACACATGATTGGAACAACTTCAGGTAGTTGTGATTTTTTTTCTTACTAAAATAGGGCCGTGGGTGACAAAAAGGTTTAGAGTCACTGCTATAATGTTAATTGAATTATCTTCAAAACAAACACTGCCACAAGCTTTGCACAAAAGAGGAAACCTACATTATTCTAAACATAAATTTTATTGAGAGGAATGTTGTTTTAAAAACAGGAGGGAACCAAGAATCTACTAAACAAACTCATTTCAGCATTAAGAGAAAAAAATCCTATTTCCATTGATCACATCCAACCAGATTCACAGATCTCACCCCAACAGTTGCCTGTGACAGATATAACCAAGCACACTCCTAAGTGAGCAGAGAATTCAGAGAGAAAAGGAGAACCCTCCCAGCAGAGGAGGAACAGAAAGCCTCAAAGTGGCTACATTCGCATGCAGCTGAACTGATCCAGTAGGGAAGTTCCTCATAAGTACACTTCATACCAAGAGGCTTGAAGCGAGCGGTGGGGAACATAAACCATCTAAAGCTAAATGGCTCAAACACCTCATTTATTTATTTTGGTTTAGCAATAGAAAACACCAAAAAATCAGGAAAGAAGAGTAAGGTTGAAACAGATGAGCATCAAAACCTCTCAGTCTTGGAATCCGAGTTAATTTCAGAAGGGAAATGAAATGCCATTCTGTTATTTACTCTTCAGTTGTGTAGAATTGGGGTAGCACATGAATTTCGTCTTAACACAATTATTTCATGCATCGTTGTTGCACAAACAAAAAACAAATTCAAAACTATCCCACAAAACAACAGAAAACATGCAAACGGTATCTCTGCACCGCTGCTGTTTTTCTAGGCTGAGTGACAATTTACAAAGCTATTTCACAACGCAATCGTAGGTGGGTACTACTGGTTGGCATAGTTAAGGTATTTCAGTTGAAAAATTGAGCAAGAGCAATTGTAATTCAAAGGCAGTTTTTTATTATACTTTCATTTTGGGCAGGAAGAGAAAACGTTTCATTCAAGTCCAGTACAGTTTCTGAGACCTCAACTTTTCAAATGCTTAGCAGTAGTTCAAATCCAGTCCCCTTCAACAGGGGCGGGAATTCAGTTGCACATGACAGCAGCGGCCACCCCATATAAAACGAGTCTCTCATCGAGTTTAAAAAATAGGTCGGTTCTTTGTTTGGTTGTGTTTACACAAGGCTCCTCACAACAGCACAAAAGCCAATGAAGACAAATTCACTGCTAGGGGAGCAATATACAGGACACATCCACTCATATCCAACTCCAGCCAAGCACCCTTCTCCCTACAAAGCTTCCTCTCCCCACACATCCCCTAAACAACTTGCTGCTTTGCTGCCTTCTCTCTCCATAGCCTCCGAGCCCCTCCTCTCCCGCAGAGCGTGCTGCCACCTGCCCAGGCTCTATTCTGTGTTTTAAGCAGCTCAGACAGCCCAACGCCTCATTGAAGAGCTGCTCATCTTCTAATGCAGATGTACATTCAGCACTGCGACACCATCCCATGCTAGCCAATGAAACCACAGGCACAGGAATAGCTTGAAGCATAAAGCACAGAAAGAATGTGGTAAAGCCACTGAATTTCTGACCAAATCCGAAGGTCTGATTTGGTTAAGTGAAGGCAAAACAAGGATTCTTCCTCCTGCTTAAACCGCAGGCTTTACAGCCTTATCAAGGAGTCACTAAGAAACCATTAACAACTGTGCAGCTATAAAAAGGGTCAAAGAGCACACATAATCTTCAAACTCTGTACCTTGTTAGGGGCATGGCAAAACAGAGAAATCAAAGGACTCTACCATAAAAATTTGGTGCCAAGAAAAACATTTTAATTCAACCAACCCAATTCAAACTGTTGGCAATGGTGATTCACTGCAAGGTATCAGTTTATAAGATCTAATTTTTAAGGATTTCCAATACAGGAAAGAGGGTTTTTTGGCCTTTCAAACATGAGAGAGTAGCTGATCATTTCTCTAATGTAGTATAGCTCTACTTCTCCCTTGAAGCAGGCTTATTGGTAGGTAGCTTACAAGAGGGAGAGAGAAGCAGCATCAGTACGCTGTAAATTTTTAGCTGCAGAAACGATGAAATACTAACAAAAGATGACAAAAGGGAGGACAGACTGTGTGCAAAAATAACTCTAGCCCAGGCATGTGCATCTAGCAGAAAACAAGTCCGATAGTGAGCTCTCTGAAGCTGAGCGGCTTATCAAGTCTGGGTTACTCCTGGTTTACATGAATAAACAAACAAACAAACAAAAACAACCAGGTAAGCCAACTCCACCAAAGTTCAGTTGCTGCACTTGCTACTGTAGATTAAGAGGCAACTCAGCTGAGAATCATACACAGATTGCACACGCTGTAGCTTGCTGCAAACCAAGGAAAGCCCATAGACCTAAACTTTTTTTCTTTTAAATAGATGCTTAAGTCAAAGTATTTCACTTAGAATTTTCCATGAGCTGTGACTGAACATCTTGTCCTTTACCCAAACTCAGCTACACAGAGCAAGTGTTTGAACTATGGATTCTTCCTAATCCCAACTCTTGTCCTTGTGCAAGTTCCGGGTGCTAAGGCAAAACCTGAGCAGTATACACAACTAACACAGCCTCTCACAAGTTTGCTGTAGTTCTTATTTATTCCAGAAGCTTGACTCTAGTTCAGGATGTTTAGGATTCTTCTATAAAAGGGCCAAATTAAAGTTGTCTTCCCCCCCGCCCAACTCTTGCTTTCTCCTATCAGTATTTCTTCTGCTAAATTTTAAAAAGAGAGAGAGAGGGAGGGAGGGAGGGAGGGAGGGAAGGAGGAGCGGGACAGAACGAAACAAGCAAAGTGAAACGGCATCTTCTACTTAGGTGGATACACCACAGATCTTGCAGACAGACTTCTACCTGTCATCGCTCTTTAAATCTACACATTCACAGGGCTCAAATAAAGAGAACGACTTCCATCTATTAAGATTAGCTCTTAGTGCTAATTTACTAACAAGCAGCACAGCAAACTAGAATTTAATCTTAAAATAAACAGATGAAGTGCATTTTAATAAAACCAGTTTAAAAAAGAACGTACAAAGTGTTAGTGGTAACTTACAGTAGAAGCGAACACTGTATTTTAACATGCATTGCTTAAAAGAGACACTGTGAAGGATGCTTGCGTGCAGTGCGTGCATTTGTGTCGAACTTAAGGGCTTCTTGAAAACAGAAACTCTGTTCACAAACTTTTGCCCATTAAAATCCTACCAGTTCTGAAGCTGCACACTTTCTTGACATCCTAAACAAGAATTTATCATTATTACAACCTCTGGAGATATGCTGCATTCAACATGCCCAAATCACATGAAAAATAAAATTGGGAAAACACTTCAGTTCCAAAGAAAATGTGTAGAGCAGAACGCAAAAAGCTTTCACGAAGCTCCAATGCAAGTCTTTACAGTGTCCTTTTTAAACAGCAGCGAGTGTTACGGGTGTGAGTAGTAACTAGGCCTAACACAAAGTGCCATTTTTATATAAGTAAAGGTTCTTTTACCTTCAGAATCATCTGTCAATGCAGATAAAAGAAAAACAAGAGAAAGGTTTACAAACAGCACAACCAATAGCAGCATAAGCTCAGATTTTCAAAGCAGCCATCCTAGCTTTTTACAGCAGCAATTACTCCTTCAGGTAGTTCTTGTAGAAGTAGAAGAACTTAACAACCCCGTACTCTAACACCACTGGTGATCGCACATACATAATTCAAGTTTGTCAATTCTTTGCTCTTCGTAAGAGACTGCTAGTAACATTCTTAAGTCCATGATCAAGGCCACTACCACGAACATGGATTCACCAGCACTGTAAAACTCTGATCTTGTTCAAAACCTCTTTCATCAAGATCAGGCAACTGGATGAACAAGGAAAGAAAGGCAAGTAAGCAAAGCAACAATTTGAGAAATGGTTAAGAATAACGTATCACAGAACCATTTCAGCTTGCAAGTCTCTTGCAGCTGCGTAATACGAGACAGGTGCGATGAGAGGACACACTGCACAACTTAATGCCCACGTACTGGCAGAAATTTATTCATATTGGAGAACCCTCACCTATGTTCCATAAGGTTATTTATCACTTAAGGAGCCTTTGAAGAACTATCTTGGGGTACATGCTGCAGACAAGAGACTTCAACTCAAACAGCAGTATCACCTCACATTCTGCCCACTCACAGGAGCATTCACGCTCCACTACATGTAATGGAAACTGAAAAATGAGATACAAGTGCTGTCAATGTCTAGAAGGACTCTTGAGGTCCATGGCAAATGCAGGATGTTATGAACCCACAGATATTCAGTCACCTTAAATGTAGCCTTCTGCTTACACTGTATTCATGCTTACCCAAGAAGTCTGATTTTTTTTTGACAAGCTGGTATGATGGATTTTCGTGTTCAGTCACGTAAAAGCAGAATGGATATCCTACAAGCCTTTTTACTTGTTGTTGATCTTTATCTCTTAAAAGCTTGAAAAGCAACTCTACGGCCATTTGGCTTAGATTACTGGTTTAAACAGTCACCAAGCCAAGACCTGATTTGCACATACAAACAGAAGTGGTTTTCCAAATAACACCTGCAACAAGGCACAAGTGAAACGTCAGAGAGGCCAACTGAACTTGTCAGAGGCATCTGGCTCTTCTTCAGTCTGGGCGCTCACGGCTCTCTATGTATTTAGTTTTAAGAACATTCGTCTTGCCCAAGTCTAATTTGGGTTACTGCTGTCACTTCTTTCAGCATATTGATGTTTCTGTGAAATATGGGGTTATTTTGAAGACCATTTCATTGGCCTTTGAGACCAGTTTTGATGGCCTATCAAAAAAGGCCTTCGAAAATAAAAGGCAGGAGGGGCAGGAGTTTCACAGCCTAGCTGTACAGTGTCTACTTCTCCGTCTAACTATCTTGGGGAGGATGGGCAGAGTCCTTCTTTCAGCATATTGATGTTTCTGTGAAATATGGGGTTATTTTGAAGACCATTTCATTGGCCTTTGAGACCAGTTTTGATGGCCTATCAAAAAAGGCCTTCGAAAATAAAAGGCAGGAGGGGCAGGAGTTTCACAGCCTAGCTGTAACAGTGTCTACTCCTCCTTCTAACTATCTTGGGGAGGACAGGCAGAGTCTCTTTCTAAAATGCCACAGCAGGGCTGGAAAAGACGGTTTTCACACTTGCATATAGCCACCTTGTCATAGGTACCTGAGATTTTATTTCTCAATATCCTTGTTAAATCATCAGATAGTAGCGTCCCATTTGACAGTAACAGCAAGAACTGTCCTTTCCCAACAGCAAAGAATGACTCGATTCTTTATTTACAAACTAGAACGAACAATGAATTATCCCATTCCAGCCTGGCTGCTGTTCACAGAACATAGTTTTTAAAATCAATACGCAAGAGATCCAGTATTCCTTTAATGCAAGCTGCATACAACAAGATTTTTAGCGTTGTCGTAACAGCTACACAATAACAAAACAAGTGTCAGCATTAGTAAATGACAGAGTATTACAGTTTATCATTTGAACAAAACCACGAAGAAAAGCGCCCCCACAGTTAACACAACTATTACTACCAAGCGCTTACCTTGCTCCTCCTCTTCTAGGTCATTCGATATTACATTGTAGAGAGTGTCCAAGGCATAGCCAATTATTTCAGAATCTGAACTGCAAATGAAAGAACCACTTTTCTTTAATGACTTATTTCCAACTACTCTTACCATATTGTTTTTCTGCACAGGCAGTTCCCTTTGCAGCATTAGATCAAGTGCGAAGGACTGATGTTGACAGACATTTTGCAATACCATGTAACCATGAGCTGTCCGGTCCCTGAATGGAGTCAAACTCCTTTTCCCAGTTCCATTCCCTCAGGTGGCCACATCCAGAAAGTCTGGTGACACAAGATGACCACAGGAAGCTTCACTGTACGCGTGTCTTCCATTTCCTGAGTCACTCCTTCCAACCTGCTCCTCAAGTATACCAGGAGAAATCTCTCGGAGGGATTCGGACCCCTTCGCGAGGCAGCTGCAGCCAGGCTTCAGCACCATCCCAGCAAAGACCCTCCCCGCCACCCCGTCAGCAAGAACCAGGGGCCAAAAGCTTGCGCTCCACGTGGATGCAAAGACAACAGCTGCGGATTCTACCAAACAGGCCAGTCTCCGTGTCACCAGCTCGGGCTACACCCAGCTATTACGGGTTTTTGAACTCCAAGCATCCCCAGGAAGCTGCTGGGCAGCCAATCTAACCCCAAAGCATTAATTCACCTGCTTACACCAAGACTCTTCTCTTAATAAGCCTTGCTTTAAGAGAGACCTGTTTCTTCTACGTTACAAAGACCGAACAATCTGTAAACCCTACACTACAACAAAGACACAGTGCAAGAGTTTCAGGGGCAGAGATTGTAACCGTTTTTGGTTCTTGCTTTGTTGCTCATAAACCAGAGACGTATGAAAGCACAGCTGGTCAAAAAACAAAGCCAAATAAAACCGAACATCACACAGGAAGGCACCTCAGAGTGCAGAAGGATACACCTCACAGCTATTTTCATGTCTTGCCCAAGCATCAGAAGAGCACGCTGTCAAAACAAGACCTCTCATTCAAACTTTTAAGTATTTGCTTTCACTGATCTCTAAGGCATACAAAGTAAGGCCTCCACACCAAAGATAAATTTGCATTTTGAGAAGCTACTAGGCCGGTTCAGAGCAGCGGCCTAAAAAACCTAACCTAACCAGCTATCTCTGCTAGACCACTAATTAAAGATGACAGACCTACAGCAGTTGTTGCAACCAAGAAATCCAGAGATGCCTCAAGGTGATCCACCAGCTTTTAGCAGACAGAATGGAGCAATCCTTACCTACAGTTCTTGTATCACTACAGCAAGAGCTTTAGCGAGCTGTCAAAGTGACGCCTCACCGCCCTTTCTACGACTCTCATACTAAATCAAAAGCTAGAAATAACCAGGTGTCAGTGTAGTTTGATATTTCACATTGGGTTTTGAATTGAATCCTTGTCCCGCTGATGTCCTCCCAGGACACGTGCATTTTTACTCAGTGTGTCACTCAACTCATACCACCTGCTTTTAAGCAGGGCTGTAATGGAAACAAAGGGGAAAAAAATTATCTCCTCCTCTGCCAGACTATTAGTCAAAGCGAGTAAAGGAAGCTTTTAGTCCATGTAAACGGTCTCATCCAGCAGGTACGCTCAGATTTCCAGCCTGCTTATATTTTCCCTTTATTGTAATTTTAGTTCTTCAACACAACACTACAAAGCCTATGGTTTCCTTTTCACGTAACTGAAACCATTCCACATCTGAAAAACACATAGAAATGATTCCCTGGAGACTTAAAAAAAAAAAAAAAAAAAAAAAAAAGAGAGAGAAAAAAAAAAGATCCAAGCTGCAGCCTTGCTTTTCTGCTTTTCCTTTCCCTTGTTAGGGAAATCACAGCAGCTACAAAAGAATAAGCAAATTTTATGGAGATGTGGTAAAAGCAGGCCTCGTTTCTCTTGTCAAAAGAGGAACACATCACAAAATGAGGACAGCAGCATCCTATCTTTGCTGTTCACTGCCTTGCTACCATCTGCTGTTCACCACGTAAAACATTTTATTGATTATTCTGTTCAGACTGAAGCTGTGCAGCTTTTGCTCTGGAGTGAAAATCAGTCACGAAATAGAATTCCAGCGTCTCATGCATCTATAAAAGATGGAGCCTTTATGCAATGCAACAATCCAGCATAAGCCACCCTAGGCATCTTCCCTCTGCTAGTTGAGCTTTTGTGTGGCACTCGACCAAGATGTCAGTGCAGCGCTCCACGAGTCCACAAACAATAGCAGAGAAAAATCATACGGAAATGAAGGCACCCACGTATTGTCCTGTCCAGATAGGGTGCATCAAAAATGCTTTTACCTATTCTTCTAAAATTATGGCATTTCACTACCAGAATAAAGACAAGCATCATCTGTACTGTCAAGAAAAGCACAGAAAAGCAGCGTGTTACTATCATGTTGTCAATCACAGCATGCCTAGAAAGGAGGGCATTTTGTTACCCCTAAAAAGTCAAGTCCTGGAAAAGCTAACAAAGGGGTAATGACATTTATATTGCCTCTTACAGAAGTTTTTGTGAGACGCCTACCACAATTTGACAATTTGGAACTAATAGCACAAGAATAACTGAGGTTTGTGCCTTAAGAAAAAAAGAATTCTTTCTCTTAAGTTCATATTAGGTTTCAAACTATTACAATTGTCACGCTGAAATTTAAAAACCTACAAGTAGAACAAAGCAGTTAAAGATCAAGTTGACTTCTTGCTCTGGTGCCTTCTCCCACACCAACAGCTAAGTGGTACTGGCCTGTTCTACAGTCGATGCCAAATTTTTTTCAAAATAATCCCTGGTGGGATGTGGCAACATCTAGACAGCAAGTCAGGAAAAGTTCTCTAGTAGATTACAGTTCCTACTTCATATTACAAAATAAACATATGTCACAAGAACACTGCTGTGTATAAGAGTCTGGAACATTAAAGGCTGCCTCCAGGATGGCTGGTGCGCATAGCTGAAAAACTAGTGAAAGAAGCCAGTTTTCTATAGAACAAGTTTTAGGTACTCAGGCAGGAGATAGAGCTTAAGGCAATCTGCAAGTACACCGAGTGAGAAGTGGAATGACGTGTTCGTTTAAGAGACAGAAGTGGTGTATTTCTGTTCCAGGATAAAGGCTGTAAATAATTTGAAGCAACAGTGTAAGATCTGAGGACAGAAATGAGAACAGGACGCAAGAAGCGCTCACCATTTCAGCACAGCCATGCAAACCAGGCCTTTTCCCTACTCAAGTCAGGAGATGAAGCTATAAATGCCTCTCACCTCGTACTAACAACTTCAGAATTAAGGAAATACTAGCATGCCTTATAACGCAAAGAGATAAAGAAAAGTGCGATTCACTACAAGGGAAGTTAATGATTAGCACAGTAACGATGCTGCAAATGGAAGGAAGGAAAAAACGGCTACTACAGAGCTGATACGTGTGCTTATCACTTCAAATTCCAAGAGAAGGAACAATTGATTCACCAAAATCAGGAGACACACCGGAGGTGAAAGACAGCTACTTTTTTACTCCAGGGCTACATAAATAAAAGTTAACGTAATGCTCAGAAAAGCTAAAAGCTGTGCTATCATACTTGGCTGAGAAGGTCTTAAAACCAAATGACTTTTCGATTAGATACCGAATTCACAATAAGCTTATTTGCATTAGAAAATAATCATCTCTTAACAGCAAAGTTGCTTCGATTTTTCATATTGCTATTACATATTCCAGCAAGACAAATGCTGCTGAAGATCAAACAGTTTGGCATCTTGAACTATTCCATTAATTTTTGGTAAATACGTAATAGGAAAGCGTGTTTGCACTTGTCACTGTTCTCACGTTACAGTACTCCGTACAGCAGCTATCCATTCCACATATGCACTCAGGCTCTGTGAATTCGTAGACCCATGCCTGCTGCTGGCTCCTACCCTGTAATTCTTTCCACCCAAACAGCCCATCCCTGCAAAAAAGGCTAGAGAGCCGATGAAGCCTCACCTGATACAGCCCAACCAAGCCCTGCTTCTACTCAACTGGGAACTAAGAGGGCAATCCCATGGATTATGTTCACATTCTGATGCACACAAAACACAGCAACTACAGGCATACCTCCAAGACAACATGCAGATAGGTGTGTAAGATCTCCAGTCAGTAAGGTAACAACCATCAGCAGCTTCGCGGCCATAAAGCTTCACCTCAGGAGCTCACCCATCTTCAGGCCAACCTAATAATCACTGAAAAAGCATACTTCCCTAAAGCTAAGCTACAGAGGAAAACAAAAGTCACTATTTTGACTTCAGCAAACTGTTTTCCCGGTCCTTTCATATTTCTAATCAAATTAGACCTTCTGTAATCTTAAACTTCACACCAACACAGTGAATGTACAGGACCAACGCATGTGACTCACTCACATGAATACGGTGACATGTGAGAAGACAACTTCAGTCAATCATTGACTTCTGTTTTCTCTGACGTTGCACTGCTGCTTCTTAAAAATAATCTTAAGCAGCTGCAGCGCAAAAAATAGAGGAGGACAGGAGGGGGAAATGAGCATTTTCCACTTCTGCAGAAAGCTTCAGGGTGCCTCAGGTGGACACTGGAAGAGTCCAAAGATGTCACCTACGGGCACAAGCTGAAACAGCGATGACAGCACACCAGCACTGTCCTCTGTCAGACCACCATCCTCTCGGTTCAATACGCCCGTCACACTGGGCATTGGGGACAGCTCAGCCTGCGGCTCATTTATCAAGCAGTTACTCAAATGAGCTGACTTAGGTTTGTATTCCTACAACTGAAAGAGTCCCCAAAGCCTCACCTCTACAGTCACTGACCCCAAACCGTGCACTCACACCACCTGTAACATGCACCGAACTTGTCAGACACGGGGGCTACAACTAGACCTCTCTCAAATGAGCCACAGCAGACAACACGTGGGCCAGCTGATGTGCTGGTCCACCATAAAACATGCAATAGGAAGTCTCCCTATCAACGTCTGGTGGAATGTTTTCAGCATTTTTTCAACCGAAAACCCAAAAACCACAAAGATGTATTTACTGTTTTTTCAACTGCAGCCTGAGTCGTACAAGACATCTGCACAGAGCCCCAGCACACGCAAATTCCGAAGGGACAACCAGAACCCAAAAAGCACAGAAAAGCTCTCAAGTTCCTGCCCTGAAGGGTTCGGGTTAGCATCTCAAAGGGAAGGAGATCAGTAGAGCCCCGCCTCCCTTCTCAAAGTTCAAATCTGGCCTCGAGAGCAGATAAGTGGATGAAAGCAGGCTCCTTGACCTAATTTTTTGAAGGGCTTCCCCTTCATGTCAGTGACAGTTACTCCTATAACCTTCCCTTTCACCGTTTGCATCATACAAGTTGCATGCAGGCCAGACATTCCTTTTTAACTACCCAGCCACCAGAACGGAAACAATGCATCCTTCTAGACACTGAACTGCTGCTTTCCTAATTGTCCTTTGTCTTGACATTAGGAGATGCTTCCCATTTACGCACATGCAAGTAGTCCACATACGCCCTTATGACTGGGTTTTTTTAATACGTTTACCAGCTTTACGTTCAAATCCAGACTGAAAGACTGTCACAATACGCTTGTCTACCTAAGCGCCGAGACTGTGCGGTATTTGAAGCTTAAATCGGAGCACTGCAAACAGGGTCCAAGTTACAACATGTGGGTACTGTCAAGTACAGCAATGCGATCAAGTGCAGAAAGAGATGGACAGCAAAAATATTTTAAATGCTTGATTGCTTAAATGTTACATTCTAGTCCGCATAAAGTATTTAGTCTAGTGTCCTCTGTCGTAACAGCAGCCATGGTGTCCAGCTGTCCTATTTACTTGAACCCTTAAGTAGAAATGCCTGCATTACTCCCCATGACAGCATTATTCTACCAATTCATTTGATGACACACACCTGAGAAAACACACGTTTGGTGACTGCATTCATTTCCTCTTAATTCTGTCTAGTTCACCTTATGCCCAGAAACAGGTTGATTTGGGTTATTTCAAATACCGTATTTAATTAACATTGTAATTTTGGATTTACCTTTCCACAGTAGTGGAAAGTGACCACAAGAAACATTAACATGCACTTTGGTACCACCTTTACTGTAGAACTGGTCTTTCTGTCCCTCATCCAAGCTCCTAGAATTCTGTTCTTTTCACCTCTGAATACGCTCCGATTAAGTTTTCATCATAAAAAGCCACCGTGACAGAAGACTCGTTAGAAACCCAGTTCCCCTCCTAGCTTTAATGGTACACAGAACCAAGTCTGGTTTTGTCCGTTTCAGCAGCAGAGAGGGGCCAGGTTATCGGCTGGAGGTGGCTGCCACAAGTCAGCAACATGCTTACCGGTCTGTCTGAAGAACGTGGATGAGATGTTCCATAGCCTGTATGCCTACCTCCAGTCGGTATTTCTATTTGGAGAAAAATGGAATAGTTAATGGTCTAGCCCAAAGCCCAAACAAAGCTTTTTAAGCAATACAACACAAAACTATTGAAAAGCCACGTGGCTCTTCAAAAAGTTCGATACTTACCTTGGATAACGATTTAAGAGCACGTACAGCATCCCTGCGGTCATCCAATAACGTGGAAGAAGCTACCCGGTCACACAGCTTCTGAATCTGGAAAGGTACGAGACACGTGAGATAAAAGACCACCAAAGACAGCCTGATGTCAGGAACTGCGCGGGAGAGCTGTTAATTCCCCACATCCAAACGACAGCTTCGCTGCTGGGAGCGGCAGGCGGCCCCGTGCAGTCGGTGCCTGGGCGCGCCCGACTGCCGGAGCTCCC